TAATTTTTATTATAAAATATTATGATAAATAATAATTAAATTATTTCAACTGAGGCAATTTCCCACTAGACAATATTTTATCCTATATAATTCGCAGGTCGTTATCATCTAGTCATCACGGCACCGACTCCACTTCGATCCCGCGTGCAAATAAGGAAAGGGAAACGACTGTCTCAAACGGGCGGCTACGATTTTGCCCCTATCCTTAAAATCTCGCATACGAATTTCTGCTCATCAATCGCCGTCCAGTTCCTAGTTGATACCTCACCATTCCAACCTATTAATTAAAGCCTCTGCTTTGCATCATTCAAAGCTTTTAGTTAAGAAGCAACAAATTCGTTGCCTTCCGCGATATCGGTTTCGTTTTCGTCTCCCTCTCTCAATTTGCATCCCCATATAATAAGATTTCTAGGGCTTCTGTTAACCAGGAAGAGAAAGAAGAGCAAGGACAAAAAAATTTAGAAACGAGAGAGAGAGAGATGATGGAGCTATTCATCCTCGGTTGCGCCGGCGTTGTAGTGCTCCTCCATAGCGCCAATTTCTTCTTCCATGCTTTATCTCGTAAGATCGGCTTCCGATCCCTCAGGTGGAGCTTCTCTCTCGCTTTATTTTCCATATTTTTCCATCTATTATTACTGATCTGAGTAGATTTGAAACAGAAAAAGATTTTTGTTTTCTAGGGCTTGTCTTCCGTTATCCATTTTAATAATTTTATTGATTTTATATTTTGTTTATCTGTGTGGATTTGTGATTTTGTGTTTGCAGCTTCCTTGGATTCATTGGGTGAGTGGGGAATCAATGGATTGGGAGCTTCAAATATGCTAGAGTAAATCTGTTCAATGATGGTTGATCGTTGAACTTCGAAGACAGACAAGTCTGATGAACTGTAATTTATTTTTTGCGTTAAATCTGCGAAATTTTAGTTGTGTTGGATTTATCTTAAATTGTCAGCTTCTCTCCTTCCCCTTTTACGCAGAATTATTTTTTGGGATGGGATATTTGTTAGTCTATATAGATGAATGAAATGCGGAGTTATCTACCATTTTATATGTGCTCTTGGAAGAAAAAAAAGGTGCTCTTGGAAATCTTTTACCAGCTAGATGAATCTTACAGACTGCACGAATCTGAATGCTCTAATATCGTACATATTGCATCTGCTGATAATCTCGAAGTGCTTGCGGTTGAAATATGTTATGTAATGTCATATTATATCTAGTTGTTTTAAATTCAGGGTTGGATACAGCTTTTTTTTTTATGGTGAAAAAAAAAAAAAATTTAGGGATAAGTATAGATGCATAGGATTGATAAAATTAGAGAAAAAATATTTTTGAGGGGAGCAAAATGCCCAAAATACTCAAAATATTTCAAAAAATCTCTTATGAATATATAAAAAAAAAAATTTTTTTTGAGGGTGGGCATTTGCCGACTTAAGTTCATGGTGGATCCGCCCATGGTTTTAACACCTAAATAAATGGTTATCAAAAGATGATCGAAATTATCAGTGATTCCTTGAGGTAACAATATGTAAACCTTTAAAATGTTGGGAGCATTTTGTGATGTGTAGAAACACTCGTTGAAAATTTTGATTTCATGATTTAATGAAAGAAAGATAGTCTTTTTTTTTGTATGAAATAAA